ATAATTTCCGAACATTACAACTTATAAAAAATGAATTTTTTTCGAAAAATGTATGTAAACTTTTAAACAAACTTTTAATAAAGAAATTTGTGTTTTATTGACACTCTGTTTTGACAAAAAATCAATATCTTTCAGCATAAGACTTAAAACGTTTCATAGTTTCACTTCAGATAGAATGAGAGGAACCATCAGCTGCAAGACTAAAGAGTAACGAGGGAACCTCTCGAGGTGATTAAAAGGTTTTAGACTCAGACGATTCTCATCATGTAGGGAATAGTCAGTAGTGAAAAATCCCAAGTTGGTTTGGGCCCATGCACGTTTTTGACGAAGATATGAGTTAATTAATGAAAATCCCATTAATAATAATTAATTAATAGCTCATGACCATGATGAGCTAGGAGTCGGAAATTTACACCATAGTTGAAGATAGATGTTGTCTACTCACTGCGACACTTTTAGGCTTATAAACCAAAGCTTTTGCAAGATATGAATTTTTTATGATTTATACAGCTTTTAGTGAAAATTAACCATTGAAANTTTTAGGTTTTCAATGGTGAATTTTCACTAAAAACTGTCTAAATCATAAAAAATTCATATCTTGCAAAAGCTTTGGTTTATAAGCCTAAAAGTGTCGCAGTGAGTAGACAACAAAAATTTTTTTCTGTTATAAATAACAAGAACTCTCACAATCTCAAATACCAACAGATTTAAATAAGGAAGTATGAAAAACATAACATTAGAACTTTAGAAAATCAAGTTTGGCGTCAAATGACTCATAATCCAGCGTAGTATCGGAAACAAGTAGACCTGTACTTTCATACAGAGGCGGGCAACTTCAGCCATTTCCAAGTCCCAGTCAAGTCCAAGTCCAACAAAAGAACCTGCAAGTGCAGACTTGGACTTGCGCACCTCTGCTTTCCTTACTAGAGAATAAAGGATAGAATTCATGAGGCTGAGTGTCGACTCAGAAAACGTTACTTATACAAAATGTGCTCGATTGTTATTAAACGTATCGCTGTTTGTTGAATTAAAACGAGTATTATTGTTCTCTTCGCAGCATTTGTAGTTCATGTATTCCTGCTAAAGTGTGTATAGAAGTATTGATGTTTATTTGTGTTATTTTTAGCATTCCTTTTAACTATGAAACGACAGTCATTCTTTTCTCGCAACCATAGAAACGACAAGAGTATTAAAAATGTAACGTAACGGTCCACAGATGGAATTACAGAAGACAAATAACCTAGTAGATAAACATAACTACCGATAGCAAGAGTTGTGCCACCTCTTGAGTTTACGGCTACTTTTCGTCTTTTTTACGTTTCTCGTACTACAGAAAGTAAAACATTTACCGCCGTAATTTGGCGGTAATCCTATGCTCCGTAACACTACAGCCGTAAACAACCTTTTAGGAGATCGTTTACGACCATAATGGGCCTGTATATGCTCGCTCACGGCGATAGTATTACGGAGCGTAGGATTACGGCGTTCTAAATCGATTTTACGGCCGTTTACGAGCCGCAATAAACTCGCGTGATTCATAGAGAATTGGGACAATATGTTTGTCTTTCTCTAGATACGTTAGAATGTTATCACCGTTTTATTTCGGTGATGTTCTACGTATATAATCTCAACATGAGTTGAGTGAAAAGTTACAGAAAGGCAGTCTCGAGGACTGCGCGCGTAGTAAGAACCAGTCCAAGTTTTCAAGGCTTTTCTGTAACGAATAGGCGGTTGTAAAACATATCGATTAGTATCAAACAAGTCGAGTTTAAGAAATCAAAATGATTTTTCTTCCTTTAACCGCAATAAACTCGCGTGATTCATAGAGAATTGGGATAATATGTTTGTCTTATCTATTTACTTATATCTATTAATAAAGATCTATCTCTTGCTAAAAGATAAAATTTCAATGGATTGTGAGCAAATTCATGGACAACAGACTCTGACCTTTCAGAAATTTGTCCGTTAAAGAATAAATAATGATCGTCTCCGCCTATAACCATACAAAAGTATGCAAGATTTCTTTTTTGCAAATTCCATCTGTGAACTATTACGTTGCATTTTTAATATACCTGTCGTTTCTATGGTTGCGCAAAGAGAACGACTGTGGTTTCATACTTAAAAGAAAGGTTAAAAATAACGCAAATAAACATCAATACTTCTATGCACTCTTTAACAGGAATGCATGAACTACAAATGTGGCGAAGAAAAGAATAATACTCGTTTTAATTCAACAAACAGCGATACTTTTAGCAACAATCGAGCACATTTTGTATAAGTAACGTTTCTTTTTTCAATCGCACATGAATATTCAGTTGATTCAGGAACAGCTCTGTATAGTGAATCATAATATAATCCTACAACTAGAATTTTATTTTGTATGATTTGTTTTTTTGCAGATTGATCGATTTGAGTGAATAATATGTTATCAGCTCCAGCTATATTGAAAAATTGTGATAATTGTAAAGGTGTTGGAACTGTAAAAATCATGTGCTGTTATTGTATGGGCACAGGTCAAGACATTTTCAGAAAATGCAATCGATGTCCTAATAGTGGGGGTTATACTACAGAGATTTGTACGTGTTGTGGCGGACCCGGACATCCTTATTACAAATATGAAGCAGAACAATAACTTTTAAATAGTTTTCTCTCAATATAGACATGCACTTCTTATTCAAAATACAGTTGATATTTTACTGTTGTAACGTTGTTCTATTTACGTTGTAACTATATATAAAGATTTGCCTTCCGTGCCATAAGGTATCTCACTCACCTATTCGGCTCTCCTTATCAACTAAACCTTTCTGAGAAAATGAATCTGATGATATATTGCTTAAGTTTATTGGTAAAAAATTTCTTTCCGATCACGGCCCATGTTTTTGGTTAAACGGCTCCTTTCTTTCTGGTTACCAGTTCAGCGTATTATCCGAAACACTCAAAATAAGTATCAAACGAAATGAGAGATATAACAGATTTTTACTATGTCATTTTTTTTCGTACCGAGGAGAGATCGTCCCGGGCCACGTTTTTATGGTCTGGCCCGGAGCGAACGTATACATTTTTCGGAGCGGCCGGTACGGGCCGGCCCAAATGCATTCTACGGACCGAGTATCCCGAAGTCTGTTTGAATAGATAAGCGATATTTTGACATAGCATTAAGCAATTTACCATCGATGGAATTTCATCATTCAAAACTTCACAATCACTTAACTAACCAAGAACAAAATAACTATAAAAAACAGAAATTTTAGCCAGTAGCTTTAACAGTATCTAGAACAGATGCTCAAAGGACGGTCAACTTCGTCAGCGATATTTTCAAGTGAAGATAGTGTCTTTTTCTCACATTTAATATAAGCGTTGCCGTTCGATGTTGTCTTGTAATTTTATCGACTTTTCGGGAAAAAGGCTGAGCTCGCAGCGGGCCATCAAACTGCAGCCCGGTCCGGTGCGGCCCGTAAATAAGATTCAAAAACGTATACCAGGCCTACGGAGATCAGTGGGCCCCCACGGGTTTTCCCGGCCTGTGACGATCTCCGGTACACATCCAGTAAAACAAAGAATATATCTATGGTCTAATGTAATGAGCAAAAATAATGGCAGAGTCCTACAACGAACTAACAAATGCATAACGGACGCTTTATTTCATCGGCGTACTAAACAACAGAAATATCTTTTGATGTTGCAATGAAAGGATACTTTGTAGAAAAAAGTGTGCCAGAAAAAACTGTAAAAGTTCTAAGTGCACAAATGGGAATCAAACTGACGTGTTTTTTTCTTAGTGCGTGAATTTTCAGACTGTTCTACGCACACAAAGCACGTTTCCGACACACCATACAGTGCATTTCTAGACGTACAAATGCGAATCAAACCGATGTGTAAGTTCAGTGTGTTTAGACACGCTTTTTTTTTACAATGTAGATACATAATGCGACAAACGATAAATCCAAATCGTATGATCGTGACACGACACTTTCCCGACACAAGACTTTTACCCTTCTTATGTAATACAATTCAATTCTGAACGATTAAGTTTTCGTTTTATCGTATCTTAATATAGAGAAGAAATAATGAAGACTAACGTAACATAAACTCAATTTTCTATACATTTGTTGTATTAATTTATGAGATAATTATCGATCAACTGAAATGTGTATGCTAGCATGGTATATTTTTGGTAACTGTAACATCTATTTTTCAATTAAGTATTGTCAGTGTTTTGATACTGTATCATACAATTACCTTTACTGAGAAACTACTTTTTGAACTCACTCTCACACTTGTACACTCACCACAGGGGGAAACTGTGGCAAACACCACTTCACTACGATAAAAAATATCGATTGTAATTGTTACACATTATCCAAAACATGGTTAAATCTACCATGCGAGCACATACATTTCGGTTGATTGATAATTATCTCATAAATTGATACAAAAAATGTATAGACAGTTGAACTATATTACAACAGTCTTCATTATTATTTCTTCTAGATTAATATATGTCAGCTAAAACGAAAACTGAACCCTTCAGAATTAAATTGTATTACATAAGAAGGGCGTGTGCCGCGGACGGGTCGATGAACCGTATATTATTGATTTTATGATTATATTTGCTTGCTCAATAAATTTTTATTATTCTGTTCAAGTTGACATACGCGGACAAAATTGTGTTACACATCCAAAAACATATATTTCAAGTGGAAAAACATCTCTAATGCAGTCAATTAAAGTCAGATTTTGAAAAGAAAAGAAAAAATAATTCAATTTTAGCTTAATAAGATAATGGTTAAGAATGAGTGAATTTGTCTCATATTGTAAATAAATTGTATGCCTTGTTGTATTCAATTATTTTTCAAGGATTTCTTTTTTAATCAAAATCAGGCGTTGAATGCATGACAGATTTTTTTGTATTTAAATTGCATTGCTCTGCGTATTATTTTTACAAACGTTAATCTGACTGCATAAAACACACAACCCAAACAAAGCACAAATCCGACAACATGGAAATTCAAGATTATCTCTATGTTGATGATGAACCAGTACCATATCAAACTCAAATAAAATCTTATTTTCAAAAGTTACCAGCAAGTAGTAAAAAATACGTTCGAACTTTATTTCCTATATTTGGATGGTTACCACGATATAATTTAACATGGTTAATTGGTGATCTCATTGCTGGTATTACCGTTGGTGTTATCATTGTCCCCCAAGGGATGGGATACGCTAAAGTGGCTAATCTTGATCCACAATATGGTTTATATTCCTCGTTTGTTGGATTGTGTATGTATTGCTTCTTTGCAACATCAAAAGATATTTCAATTGGTTAGTACGCAGATGAAATAAAGCGTCGATTATGCATTTGTTAGTTCATTTTAGGACCGACGGCTGTTATGTCTCTTTTAATTGGTCAAACGATATCATCAGTTGGCACAACACTATTTACCGGCCCACAAATAGCGTCAACTTTAGCACTGTTTGGAGGAATTATTTCTCTTGCCATCGGACTATTTCGACTTGGCGTTATCGTTGATTTTATTCCGGATCCTGCTATTGCTGGTTTTATGACTGGATCATGCATCACCATCATTATAGGTCAGTTACCAAAATTATTTGGAATAACTGGAATTAGCTCGAGTCTAGCAGCGTATCTTATCCTCGGTTATACATTACAAGGCTTACCTGGAACTCATGTGGATTTAGCTTTTGGTGCAATTGGACTGATTTGGTTATATGGCATTAGATATTTGACACAATTTCTCACTAGTCGTTATCCAAGATTCGAGCGACCACTTTTTTTTTTTGGTATTGCAAGAAATGCAATCTTAGTAATATTTGGTACTTTAATTGCATATGGAATCAATGTAGGACAAAAGACAAGTCCAATTAGTATTTTGAAAACAGTGCCATCCGGTTTTCGAGAAATGCATGTTCCCAATACCAGTATTAGTCTGTTGTCAACAATCGCAGGAACGATACCACCAGTTGTTGTTATTTTGATACTGGAACATGTGGCGATTGCAAAGTCATTTGGGAGAATCAATGATTATAAAAGTAAGCAATTTATCAGTATAACTACAGTGCTTTTGAGGGGAGTAAGTTTCTTTGACGGTTAGACGAAATAAGAATGTCATCTGGATTGGGGTACTATCATTTAAGGTGAATAAGTGATCCACTGTGATAACTATATATAATGTCAAGAGTCAAAGGTAAAAAAGTATCTTGCCTATAAGGATGAAGAAAATCTTCATTGATTTAGAACTCTCCTGATTCATATGGTTAATGCTCTTAATAGGGGTGGCACATTACTGTTACTTATACGAGTAATCCAAATATTGTAAATATTCCTGTTATCAGTAATATTGCTGTTGCTGGTAATAGGAATGTTCTAAAAATTTGTATCAGCAACAATGAAACTGGAAAGTATTACTGTTAGTGATAACAGGAATATTTACAATATTTGGATTATTCATAAAAGTAACAGTAATGTGCCACCCCTAGTTCTTAACACTTGAAAACAAGTATTTAATTCTGTATAATTGTTCTAGAAAACCGATCGTTTTTTGAAAGCAATTTTTTTTTCATCTAACGAGTTTTTGTATATTTTGACAGTTCGTACTACTCGATATTTGTAACTTTTCTTCATATTCTGAGAAATTTGAATAGTAAAAATACATCTTCGATATTAACTCAATACAACTGTTAAAAGTCTCGCTTTGGAAATCTTAAATTAAAACTGTAGACAGTTTGAGACTAAATAACGTTTTTTAAACTTAGTACATCTAAAAGGTTTTTGATGGAGTCATACGGCGTGGCGTGCATTCTAAAGACCTGCACCCCGATCCGAATTCGACTCGAACCCGACCCTAGGGCGGGTCAGGTTCGGGTTGAGATGCTGTCGGGTCGGATCGAGTTCGGGTTAAGATGTTGTCAGGTCGGATCGGGTTCGGATTGAACATTATGCGGCGCAATTTAAAATATAGGTAATAATTTCAATTTTGTATTACTCGTTGAAAAGTTCACTGTACTGGAATTTTGAGTTGAGGGTGAGGGTGAGGGGTGAGGGTGATACTTATTTCAGAACAACTGCATTCGCTAATGAGGTACGGTCTTCAGATGCATAACTCCGTTTTTGATGATATTATGCCAGTTAATAGAGGAGAGTGAGGAGATAAAAACCCTCAAAAAGGGACCCATATCAGTTCTTTCAAAAGTTTTGAAGTATTTTGTTCTAAAGGAACACTGTGTGTAGTAACAGTAATAATTCTGTAACGTAGTCAGAACAAAGAATTAAGAAGTGGAATTCTCTTTTGTATTTTCGCTAATAGTCTGCTAATATTAGAGAAAATTTGGGTGCTATATTCGTAAATTCGCTTATCATTGAACTTTTCTTCCTGAAGGAAAACAATGTTTTTCCAAACCGCACAATTTTCAATGATAACATTTCTCTTTTATTAGAGATGATACTGAGAATTTCGAAAGATATAACGTTCAGATTTTCTGGAATATTAGCAGACTATTAGCAAAAGATCACTCTCGTGAAATGCGATGCCCCCCGCTAAACAAATAGGTGAATAAAAAGACATAAACTAAAAAACAAAAGAAAAGAGTAAAAATTTATCGGGTCGGGTCGGATTCGGATTACGTTTTCTTAACCCGTGCAGGTCTCTAGTGCACCCTCAGTGTATCATCTACACACTTTTTTTGCAGTGTAAGACGCCACTAATTCAGACTTACGACGCTATTTTATTTTCTCAATATTTACACATGGCTGGATAGAGGAGAGCGAGCTAAATCCGAAAAACACCTTTAAAACCTTCTCAGACTTTGCCTTCATGGTGAAAAACGAAAAATGCGCGATGGATGATAAGATCGAGAAAACTCGTCCTTCGAGAAAAACGCTAATAGGTTTTTCTCATTGCATTTCGCAGCTTTAAAATAGTTTTTTCTGAATCTGCATTGCAAACTGCATATGAATATGTGTTTTTAAGGTTTTCACATATTACGAAGCCGGTAGGAAAAAATTCGTTTCCAAGGGAACTCAAACGCATAATCCTTCTCTCGGAAAAGCATCAAGCCTCTTGCCTTAAAAGATGAGGCCATGTTTCACAGGGCATTCGAACCGCCTTGTAGCGGAGAACAAAGTTATAGCTGCAGATTTCTGATTTTTTCCTTCCTGTTGAGAAATTTCACTTTTTCTAAACCAGGAGCGCAAAAATCGAAAATTTGCCCGTAATTCCCAATTTTCTCCACTAGAACTCAACTTTTAAACAATAAAAGTATCATATCCGGAGTCAGCGTCCAAAACCGAGTCGACCGGTAAAGAAAAAGAAGTCGAAAGAAAAAACGAAATAGAGGAGCTCAGATAGAAATGAGAAAATGTACTTGAAGAAACAGCTTCAGCCCTACCGTGATACTAGACTAAATGGTACATTTACCCAGTTGCATGTTGACTGAAATTGTGTTCTTGCTGAAACAGTCGACCGATTCATCTATTGTCCAATTAATCAACAGCAACTCTCTGCACTCGATTGATACTAGATGGAATTTTCATATACTTCACTACAGTTAGATTCGAGCTAGATATATGTACCTGTAATCTAGATACAAGCGCTCGCTTCACAATTTCTCATGTATCTCATCGTTTTTAATTTATGAACATATTCAACAATGGTATAAAATAATGCACAAGTGTTTTTTAATCCTTTATGCTAACGTGAACAAAAGTATCTTTCACATATATCAAGTAGTGAGTATAACACATGAATACTGAGCGATAGAGAAAATAATTTGTAGAGGATCTGATGTGAAACCTACATTATCAATAAAATTATGAAGTACTAGTACATAAACGGAAATAATTCTTTTCTAGTTAATCCAAACCAAGAACTTGTGGCTATTGGTGTTACAAATATCATTGGATCTTTTTTTTCTGCATATCCTACCACTGGTTCATTTTCTCGTACAGCAATTAAAGCAAAATCAGGTGTTCGAACACCCCTTGCTGGTGTTTTCTCTTCATTGGTGGTTCTTCTAGCATTATATGCATTGACACCTGCATTCTACTATATACCAGATGCAATTTTAGCCGCTGTTATTATTCATAGTGTTGGTGATCTGGCATCAGGTCCTCGAGTATGGAAACATTTGTTGGATGTTCATCCATTAGAATTATTTATTTTTGTCGCAGCTGTTATTATTACATTCTTTACCACGGTTGAATATGGTATTTATACATCAATCGGTGTATCATTGATCGTTATTCTATATCGAATTGCTCGTCCAAGCTTTTCTATTTTGGGTCGTATAACAAATAGTCGAGGCATCTACTTCCCTATTGATCATCCATCAGTCAAAGATCATATTACTGTGAACCCCAATGGTATCGTTATAATTCGTCTAAATGAATCATTAACATATCCAAATTCTAGTTATATAACTGAAAAAATGATTGATTATCTGAAAGCAAATACACGTAGAGGAAAACCATTATCAAACAATAAAGGTGATCGTGCATGGAACGACTCAACACCACTAGAGATGTCTGACACTGACAAACAAAAACCAGTATTAAAAGCGTTTGTGATTGATTTTGCGGGTGTAGCTAATATGGATTCAACCGGTATTCAATGCATTTCAGATGTACGAGCAATTGCTAATAGATGGGCTAATCGTTACGTTTTCTGGCATTTTGTTAATGTTAACACACCAGAAGCTAGGAGAATATTAATTAAACTTGGATTTGGAAGTCAATCTATAACAATTGCTTCAGGACTCTTACCAAGTGACCGAACGAAAGATTTGACAGCGGTTTCAGTTGTACCAATGGGTCAGAGTAATAATCAAGAAACAAAATCGTCAACATTAGTAACAGTAAAAGATAAATACACTTATTTTCATTATGATATTGATGAAGCAGTTGAAACTGCTCAAAAATCTTATTCACCATAGTGTTTACAAGAGAATTTTCATTTTTTTGTTCTCAAGTTTATATCACACACAGATTTATACACCACTCGTTATCTGTATCGACATTTTAATAAACGTACTATTGGTCTTCTGTCTTTGTGCTAACCGAACCATGCAAGATGTCTAAGAAGAAACAGCACTCTTTGAACTTTTTTTTTACAGTTTTATTTGACTTAAATGGACTTTGATTCTTAAATCAGTCAGATTAAAGGATCCATAGATTTCAGACCTTGATAGACTTTAAAAAATTTGGATTGAAATAGAAACTATAAAAGTTTAGTGCAACTCTAACTCCAACACTAAATCGTTCTTGTTCAGAAGCTACCGCAATACTAACATTCATCTATTCAAATAAGCAAATAAAAATTTAATCAGTGTGATAAATAACATCATTTTATATTGAAGTAGAAAGATTTATTTTTGATCAATAATAACTTACTCATAATATCATACACACCATTAATCTATGTTCGTGAGCATACAACCAGTGGAGACAATAACAAGTATTCACGGATTTTATATCAATCAAAACGGGGTTGTTTATATTTTTGATACGAATGTTGGAATACAATGTTAAAAACAACGATTAAAATAAAAGAGAGTTGAAAATTATAAATCACTGACATCATCAATTTAAAAAAACGTATATTTATTTTTCAAAATTTTTTACATTTTACAAATCCTTCGAAAACAGTCGTTCAAACCAAAATGAATCGAAAATTTCTCAAACGGAACCGATCGCACCTTCGGTCACTATCAATGCGTCTCTGAGTTCTATGTCATTCCATCATATATTTTGTGCTTCGACAGGTAACTTGGTCAAAGAAATTTTTTAAAAATTGAAAACTTCATTTTCAATGTTCGAAATAAATATCTCTTTACGAAAAGGTTAATCCCTTTACAATTAATACCGTATTCGAGCATCCTTACACCTCATAGAGAAATATAGAAGTCTGAGAAAATTCTTCATCAATCTTCCGAAGCCTTGCATATTGCTTTTACACGCAGATCGGTATAAGAAAAGTAGAAGAAAAAAGATCGTAAAAACGATCTTGAATGCAAAATAATCAATGAGTTTATTGTATGCGACAAGATTATCGAATTTCTGTCGAACGTAAATTACCTTTCAAAAGTTTTATGTATGCATTCTCAGTTTGTGTGTCAACAGCGGATACACAAGTGTATCAGAAAACACGGATTAGAACTGATATCTCGCCAATAGTTTGTAAAAAAAGAGGAAAACCAAAGATTCATACTTTAAAAAAAAAGAGAATTTCGAAAAAAAGAGAGGAAAGAGGAGTTCAGTTTTTTCGGGCGAAAAATGCTAACAAATAAATATCCTCGCAAGTGTAGAAGCATGTAATGGTGGCATATCTATGATCTGCGTTCAATGGCGAATCGAAACAGCGAAAAATGAAACGGAATGGCTATTGGCACCTTCAAAGGCGTCACCAAGGAGCTATTGCCACCTTCAGAAGGTGTCACTGACGGCTATTGCCACCTTCAGAAGGTGTGAACAACGGCTATTACCACCTTCCAGTTCAGTATTATGTCAGAAGGTGTCAATAACGGCTATTGACGCATTCTAGCTTACAAGTATGAGTGCATATTTGTATGATGAGTAGTGGTGAGGGTCTCATAGAGAAATATAGAAGTCTGAAAAAATTCTTCATCAATCTTCCGAAGCCTTGCATATTGTTTTACGGATCGGTATAAGAAAAGTAGAAGAAAAAAGATCGTAAAAACGAGTGCTCAAAGCTGCTACTCATGTATTTAGCACGCACAGATTGTTCTAGTGTTTAGCACGCACAGAGTGTTTCTAGTGGAAGTGGCTATAGCACCTTCCGAAGGTGGCAATAGCTCCTTGGTCACACCTATGAAGGTGGCAATAGCCGTCAGTGACACCATCTGAAGGTGGCAATAGCTGTCAGTGACACCTTCCGAAGGTGGCAATAGCTCCTTGGTCACACCTATGAAGGTGGCAATAGCCGTCAGTGACACCATCTGAAGGTGGCAATAGCTGTCAGTGACACCTTCCGAAGGTGGCAATAGCTGTCAGTGACACCTTCCGAAGGTGGCAATAGCTCCTTGGTGACACCTCTTGAGGTGGCAATAGCGGTACCCAAAATCAAATTCAGTATTGTTCACATATATTTTGCATCAATCATAATATGCACACTACAATATGAGAAAACAAACAAAAACAACAGAAATCTCGTTCATCTATTGTTTTTTTTTCGTCTAGTTATGATTACTATTATTCTATGTTAAAGATAGCATCATCTTTAGCTATCTCTGTCTAATTTTTTCTTTTATATTACATGTGTTTGTTCTTTTGGATACATATATATGTCAGCGTTCAAACTCCGATCCAGACCAATTGGCCTAGGCCAATCTGAAATTGGTCTGGATCGGAGTTTGGACGCTGACAGATATATATGAAAGCCTACATTCACATATCGTCAGTTCGAGTGCATACAGAATACAGAGTTGGTGAGTGGTCAGACCAGTTAATGGTCTGCTCACTTCATGTTATTCCTGCATATGTATTTTTACCATTATTTTGAAATATGCTACATAGATCGGATTGGCACTTTGTTTAATCTAGGTTGCTGAGAGAGTTTCTAGTCTCACTTGATTGAAGAATCCGAGCTTAACGACTAGTAGAAGTCAAGAGTAAAATTACGCGATGACATGAACCACTGGATGAATCAATAATAACGAATTTGTTCATCAATAGAAACTGTGTTCGTGAAAAAGAGGATTTATAGAAAAAAAGGAGGAAAAAGAGGCGGAGCGGGAGGTCAGGGTTAGAAACTACTACTGTTTTGTTATTCAGGACAGGAAAATATAGCGAGAAGTGGCAGGTAAAGCAGAATTTGAGAAATTTCGTAGCATTTTCCAGCTTCTTCTCCAAGAATCAGAGTCTGCTTTTGCCATTTTTTTCGTAGAATTTGTCGTCTCACTCCTCTTATGAGAAAAAAGAAAGATTCTGTTACATTCCCTTGAGGGGCAATATGCATAGGGTAGTGCTGCGAAGGATAGCGGACAAATCTCACCTATCTCATGTCTTCAAAACCGACAAAGTACCGCTCGATGACCGTTCAGTAACCCGGCCGCTGTATAAGTAGCAAAATCGAAATTATCGCACAGTAACCGCGGTCAGCGTTCGGTTGACCGCCAGTATAATCAGCGGTACCGTCCAGCATTTTTCCATTATGAACAAATAGAAAGGGAGTTCGAATCTAGTTTTCAACTTTCTTTTTCTGTTTTTGTTGAACATTTGTAAGCGTAGAGAGACGGACTCCTGGTCGAGAGAAATTGGTCTCGAGTCGAAGTTCAGACTTCGACGAGTCTATATGATCTAAAAGAAAATTTTAATCTGAGAAAAAAATCAAGTGTTTTGGATTTTCTGTTTCGTATATCAACTGGCGGGTGCAAAACAAAGGAGTGAATGTATAAAAACGGTTACCTTGCGGGATTTTCTGTATCGCGGTCTAATAAATTATCGTCGGTTAACCGTGTAGTATGCCGAGCGGTACTGTTAATCGATGGTAATTTGTTGAACCGACGATATTTTAAAAAGAAGCTCGACATAGGATCTTTAAAAGTTTGTGCCCAAGCGGAAAAAAGATTGTTAGAAATTTCAGGTTGTGTCCACATCTAATTTAGGAATCGATTATCGGTATAAACAGGATGGATACACACAATAACCCATCCAGGCTCCAGAGGTGCTATGTTGTAATGAAACAAAAGTCCTAACTAATCAAAACTATGAATAGTGAGCAAATTGTGAAAAACAAGAAAGTAAGAGCAAAAGGAATAATTTATCTGAATAGAACAGAAAAAATGCTATGAGAATGAGATTATTTAGCGGAAAAAGAGTAAATTGGAATAATTAGTGTGAGAACTCTAACTATAATCAAGTGATGTTGTCGACTTTGAAATTTTAACGAACAGTGACACTTCAGTCATCCTGGCACATTTCGCTGGTACTGTTCAGCACTAAAATCTTCGGTTGTGCAAACACGACAAAGCTCAATTTTGGAGCACTAAAAGTACTAAATGAGATATCTTCAAGAAGAAAATTTGAAGAAAACCTGACTAGCCATTTTCGAGAAAATCATAGCCAAAGTTGAGGAGTTTTGACATAAGCTTCATTTTAAGTAGAAATAGATTAATATTTCTTTACTTTCTGACTATTTCATAGCGATTACAAAAATGCATGGAAATCCCATGTTAGGCCGATTTTACTTTTTCTGCTAAACAACGAATTTTAAAATTATCACCTTGAAAATTATGTTACGAATATAGATTTCTTAGCTCTATCGTCTAATATTCCAGAACCTCAGGTCCAAGTCAGATATTCATTGGACCTGACCTATGACTGATACCTGTCCTGATTAGACTTGGGCCTGTGACATGGAATTGCCGCCTTCAAATCTGAACCTGGACCCGAGGTCCGAAGTGAACTATTACGCCTAATGCAAATAATTGAGATCAGTGTGCAGCTTGGTTACATGATGATTGCAGTAAAGCGGTGGACATATTAGACGACCTGGGGTCTTCTAGTCTGTCTATTGTTCACAAATTTTAGGGGGGTCTTCTATTGCGTCCCTGAAAGAAGACATATTTTTCGGTACCCTCAGCAATGAAACACGCAGATCAAAACCGCTGTATTTGACCACATTTTGTTTCGTTCAGAGAAAGAAAATATAATTGCGCTTCTATTGGTTTAAGCTATTTTATTTGAAATAATATAAAGTAAAGAGCGCTAGTGTTACTAATTCGGCATTGCCATTATATAAAAAAATTATAAAGTAGTAATACCTAAAGCCAAGACTTTATTACGAGTTCGGTTTAGGTCATTAAATGTATCGTTTTCTTTAGTACAATCATCGTTTTGAGTATTCTTCTTTCAAGATATAATTAGTATCAAAATAGACTATTTAAAGTTATCAACAAGAGGTTTAAAATTTCACTTCGGAGTTCAGGTCCAGGTCCAAGTTTAGGTTAGAGTTATGTCAGGACTCATGTATCAAAACGGTAAGTCTGTGTCAAAAGGTCTGAGTTCATCTCTAACCTGATCATTTTTTAGAATTAGAGTGAACCGCCTAGAAATTAGGATCAGTCAAAGTTTCTATTATACGTTTGGACCTGGATCTGTCAAGTGATAGGTTGAGGTTGAGGTTCAGGCCTACCGTCTCTATCTGGTGTATTCAGAAAAATTTTAAAAAATTTGGGCAAACGAAAATGAAGCATACATCGGGGGTTTCGTTTTCAACAGAAACAGACTTTGCCGCTTTCCTCGCTCAAATGAATATGAATTTTTGCAGAAGTCGATATGGACTACATAAATAGTGAAATCTTGCTTTCAATCTGGCTCTCAAAAGACAGCAGAATTCGGTAACCTCTGAATTCGTGAAGAAAGTCCTTACTACAGTGGTTGCAGTCTCATGGAATATCCCACGGATCAGTAAACTTAAAATGAAATCTAATTCTTTAGTTAAATGATGCATTGTGATCACTCCTTCTGCGTTCTTTGCGGCTTCGAACAAAAGTGTTTTTATACTTTGCCAAATGAGTGTACTCATAATGCATTTCTTCTTTCTTCTCCTCAACAGATTCTGAATCAGAAGAAGAAATATTTTTTCGCCTCTTTTGATCGAACAGAAGTATATTAGTCTATCATAGATAATGAAAAAGAAAATAAGGTGTAGAACAGAACAAAAATAAAAAAAATGTGTTCTACTTGAATAAAAGAAAACAAAAACCCGAATATGTGTGAGATGAAAAATATTTTTCTTTTACTGATACACATGTGTAACAATGTGTAAAATGTAAAAACAGAGATCCACGTTAATGTTTATACGAGTTATTTTGTCATATTATGTCTGACAAATTACGTCGACTATTGCTGATCATTAAAAACGATTTAAGTGATGAAGATAAGAAAAATTTCTTATTTCTCATAGGAGATGATATTCCACGATCTCTTAAAGATCAAGCATTAACAAATGTGTTTGAGGCTTTGATAGACGCATATATGGTCACATGGGAGGATTGTTCATATCTAATTGATAAAATGGACGCTATTGATCGCCATGATTTGAAACAAAGAATAGACGATCGAAGTATGGGTACATTTATATTTTTCACGTTCGTATATTCAGATCTATACCCCAAACAGAAGAGCTGACAGATTTAGTCATCAGCAAACGATAATCCAAGTTTTAATAACATGATGAGGTTGAAATAATAGAATGATTCAAAATAATGTAAAAACACCTTGTCCATTATGTTCAAAAAGACCAGGAACTAGTCTAACTCTTGAACAAATCAATAGCCAGATGTTTCATTTAAAAATTTAATAATAAATTTTGACGTTTTCATCGGTTTTTCTCTTGTATACTTTTTGTAATCCTTTACGATCAAATTTTGGCGGTGGTAGAGTAATTTTTTATTTTTATATGGATGTCTGTCATTTCACAGACTAATGGACATCTGAAACTAACGCCTTTTTTCTTTCTCTAGATATGGTAAAAACAATCAGCACGTCGTCCACTGAAATTAGTTGCAGTAGTCCAACAAAATCCCCAACATCAAATTTCCAGCCACATCTACCGGAAAGAGCATTAGCTCAGAGTACATTAGATGAGTTATTTGCTGATAATCAAGAAGAAGATGGCATGCAACTAAGAGGTATTTCTTTTTAAATATACATATGTCGAATGATATTATGAAAATTTTTTAATCCTATCTCGCTTAGGTATGCAACAGTTACGGTTAACTGTAACTGCAAAACTGTTACACTAATACAGTTAAAGACTATGGCAGTTAAAACTGATACATTTGATTATCGAAATTAATCATAACTGTCAGAAAAAATTTATATTTAAACTATACATAAAGTTTTTAATCTTTTCGAAGCCGTAAATAAGAAAAAAGTTTTGTTCAAATTATTGTCGTTAAATTTTGTGTTAAATAATATATAAACATCCCTGCAAAGACCTGCACGGGTAAAGAAAACGTAACCCGAACCCGACCCGACCCGATAAATTTTTACTCTTTTGTTTTGTTCTTAAGTTTATGTCTTTTTATTTACTTACATGTTTAGCGGAGCGCATCACATTACAGGCGAGTGACCTTTTGCTAATAGTCTGCTAATATTCCAGAAAATTTGAGCGCCATATCTTTCTAAATTTTCAATATCACCTCTGATAAAAGAGAAATGTTATCATTGAAAATTGTGCAGTTTGGAAAAACATTGTTTTCTTTCAAGATGAAAAGTTCGATGACAAGCGTATTTAGGAAGATATAACGCTCGAATTTTCTGTAATGTTAGCAGACAATTAGCGAAAGTACAAAAGATAATTTTACTTCTTAATTCTTTGTTTTGACTGGGTTATAAAATTATTACTGTTACTACGCACAGTGTTCCTTTAGAACAAAAAAATTCGTAACTTTTGAAAGAACTGATATGGGTCCTTCTTTAAGGGTTTTTATCAGCTCACTTTCCTCTATTAACTGGCATAATATCATTAAAAACGGAGTTGTGCATCTGAAGACCGTACCTCATTTGCGAATGCAGTTGTTCTGAAATAAGTATTTCAACTCAAAATTCCAGTACAGTGAACTTTTCAACGAGTAATATAAAATTGAAATTATTACCTATATTTTAAATTGTGCCGCAAAACATTCAACTCGAACCCGATCCGACCCCAGGGTCGGATTGCAGGTCTCTACACCCTTGCAAAAAAATTTTTACTGTCATTTATTCGGCACCGGTGTGCACCAGTGTCAGAAAGATTTTCAAGTTTCACACTAATGTGCATCCATGCGGATTGTCCTACAAAAAAATTCCAGTGCGGCACTGGTAAAAGTCAGTGTGGGATTGCTAGTGCGCACTCGTGTCCAGCAAGTGCTAATTGGCACCTGTGCCAGGCAGTGCCCATATATTTATATCAAAAAGTGTCACACTGGTAAAAATCAGTGCCGCATTGAAACTTATTTAGTGAGTTCTTTATTATAGTTGCATTTTCTTAATTACAGTACAGCCTGATATGTACCGGTACTACGCTGGCATGCTGTAACCGTGCGGCACTGCGTCAGCACTTCTCTTATGAGGAGGAAGAAATCACATTCGAAACATTACAAGTGTACTGAGGTGTTTATTCACAGTGGTAACTTACTTCTTTCAATCGATAAAGGTAATCCATTAGATCACTATTTCATTTGTTTCGTAGCCATTCTCCTTCTTATAAAATAAAGATTAGAACAACTACAGACATGCAAAGCATTACTGACATATACCCAGGAGGTTCAAAACGGCCAAATTAGCGACGTGTTAACGTTCCGTTAAGCAGAGATGGGAGAGTACAAGTAAATAGTCGTACTCGAGTATACTCGAATACAAATTTTTAGATACTCATACTCGAAAAAGTGTGTACCTGCCAACCTCTGCCGCTAAGTCTACGTTAATGAGCCGTAAACGTACAGTTTTTACACCGTTAATTAGGACCGTATTACGGTCCGTTTTTTGGTCGGTTTTGCACTACTTTCGGGCAGTCTTTAAAGAGAGAAGCTGCTTAAAACTGGTTTTTAACTCGTTACGCTTCATTAAGCATGTTTTACTAGCACCTTTCTTCGAGAACATGGTGGAATCAATTTTTAATGTTTTCGATTACTATCACGCCATAATCTCTATCTGAAAAGGAAAAGTCAATATTAACACAGAGTCAGTGAAAGTAGATAGCAATTTTGGTCCGCTGTTCTTCTACTGTACATAAACACCTAGTCCGTTGTCATAATGTTGAACTATCTGATTTTCGATAAACTGTGTAGTTTACTTTTCAAAAGCATTTCTTGCTCAGATAAACCACTTTGATGTATTTCTCAATTCTGATTCGACATATGATTGAAAATGATTTTAAATTAAAAGTTAGAAAGACTAATGCCTTTTAGTTCATTCAATTATAAGTTTTACCATTTGTCGCATGTGAAGCATCGAGCATTCACGCTGATTACGAATATCAACTTTACAACGAACGAAACTCAAATTTTTAAATCGAAAATTCAAACTTCAAACTTAAAAGCTTTTTATTTCAATTTTGTGACCTACTTAGCTTTTCAAAAATTTTTAGAAAGTATGTCTTTCTAAAAATTTTAATTAAGTCCCAATCCTCTGTGCGTTAAACAGGACCGAACTGATCTTTGCTACATCCTGAAAATCACTAACGATCTTACACCGAGGATACTCACATTTGTGCAGACATCAACCGTTGAGGCATTTTAGCACTTCTGTGCATTTTTATTTTGAGATCTGTGCACTTGCCTTGTAAATGCATGATGTTTTTGAAAAAATTCCTCTAAAAAAGAACAAAAACACACATAATTTCCAAAAAACAACGACGAAAAACAGTTTCGCACTTTGTTAACCCTTTACCCCCCACAACAGTTCCAGAGGATCCACTGATCAAATAACTACTGGAATAGAGTATTGGTGACTCCAATATGGCAATAGTATGGACAGATCGATCAGGCGCACGCT